GCTCTCACATACACACGGGTGTGTATGTGAGAGCACACGGGGACTCACACACACAAACTACACCCTTTTTGGCTCCTACCTCAAAGCACACTGTGCGCTGTCGATCTTACGTACTGCACAATAATGTTTAATATTTAGTATTTACTGTTACATTCCCATAGATCATCGTGATGTTGTTATTATGTTGCTCTTTTTTTCTTTCTTCTGCTTGTTTTCTCTTTTTTCTTTCTTAACAGGTGATTGATATATGTATTTTCTTGTCTGCTTATTTTGTTGTTTTTTTGTTTTTTGCCCTTTATCCCCGTCCCTCTTCTCCTCTATTTTTCTTTCCCTCTTTCTTTCTCCCCTTTCTTTTCCCCAGTCAAGTCTGTCCCGTATTTAACAAGTAAAAAAAAAGAAAAAAAAAAAGAGGGCAGCAGTGGAAATGAAATGTCAGAGGGAGAGATGAGAAGGGAGGGTGTGTTTGATGACATGGTACATGCATAAGTACCACAGTTGGAGTTGTCTGCTTGAACCAGCTCACTCCAATGCATCGAAGACCTTCTTCAAACAAAATTTTCCCCCATCTTTTTTCTAATCAATCATTACAATTGGACAACTTTAGAATAATAATTTGTATTATTTAAGTGCCATAAAAGGTTGAGGTAGATTTGCTGCACAGTGAGCAATAATGTTCAAATGACTAACAACTCATAGCAGTAATAGTTATTTTATTTCAATAGGCACAAGTAAAATCAAGTCAGTTTTATTTGCATATTACACATTGAGCTTCAGGGGATCTATATCCTGCACAGAAAAGTGTTCAGCACGCTTCATGATCAGGATCAGGATTGGATTTGGACCATCAGAAAAATTCCCCAAAATGACAGTCAAGGACAATGGTGAAAAAAAATTGCCACTGAGATAAATATATTAATTTATTAAATAATTCTCAGAATAGAAAAAATGTTTTGTACCTTTTTTGTACCTATATTTCTGTATTCCTAGTAAAAAAGGATATCAGTGGCTTTGAACTTAGAAATTCTTTAAGCTAGTTTTATGCTCTCATGTGAATGATTGTATAAATGCATATATAACAATGGACTATATAACTTGTGATAAGTTTTTAAGAGTGCATTCTTGTAAATGTGATTCTCATCCCATGCAGGTGTTTACCACACTTGCCCTTGTAGGAATGTTGATCATCCCACTCAATGCTTTCCCCTGGGTGCTCAATGGAGTCCTGGAAGCCAAAGTGTCTCTGGAACGAATCCAGCGCTTCTTTAAACTAACCAACCAGAACCTGCAGGCATACTATGCCCTGGGTAGGGTACTGCTTGATTTCCTACTTTGTTTGTGTGGAGGTGTATTTGATTTTGATGTGAAACAGGTCCTCGTGCTTTTTTGTTCATTCAAGGAAAAAGCAGTTTTTATGAATGTTTAGAACAGCTTCTGCTCATTAAAGATGAGGTTATTTTCTGCTTTAATCAAGTATTTGTTCGAGTGATTGCATCAAATGCTATTTTTTCAAAGAGTAAAGTTCACAGAAACTAAAGAAAACGTTTTACCCAACTGTACATAGTAGGGATGCACCGATACCGATACTGGTATCGTGGACTGGCAGTGTGGACCGGAACAGCCAACTTTAACTCAGGTTTTGGAAAAGCGGTGAAAAATGTCAAGAGAAAATCCACGGGCAGTTAAAATAACAGAGGCTCTGACTCATTTTATCGCTCTGGATGACCAGCCAATGCCAGTCGTGGAAAACATAGGATTCTTCTCAGCATACTCGAGCTGTGATATGAAATTCCCAGCCGCCCACACATCAGGGAGATAATGGTGCCAAAACTTTCTAAAGAGGTAAAGACAAGCAGTGTGTGCGCGATGTCAGTCCTTGGTTTAACGGCACAGTGGACTGATGATCCACGGGCAGATGGGGAGTTCGTTCGTCAATGCCAAATACTTTCGTTATTTCGTTTGTTTGTTTACAATATGGACACTCTGCAACAATTTAAAAGTTTATTTTAATCTCAAACCTAATTTGTATTCTTTTATTCCAAACAGAAGTGTTTATTTATTATTCCGAAAACTCGAGACAGTGCCAATAGTTCAGTGATATTTTGTTAAATTACAATGTGGAGACTCTGCAATAATTTAACAGAAGTGCTTATTTTTCACTTGAAATTTTTTTGTGGTCATTTTTATTAAGATATTATTTATTATCGGCAGAGAATAAAATAAAACCTGTCTTCCAATTCATTGCATTTGTGTGTGTGTGTGGTAGAAGTATCGGTTTTTGTACTCTGTATCGGCAAGTACTCAGATCCGGTATCGTATCGGTTTGAAAAAAATTGCTAACGTTGCATCCCTAGTACATAGTTCATCAGCCAAACTTGCTTTTTTAAATCTATGTAATGTTTCTCTTGTGCTGAAATACCACATCTGTGCCCAGTGTCTCCAGAAGACAGCCAGACATCTGTCCTTTTGAGCCAGGGATCATTTTCATGGCAGGAACCCAGCAGTCCAAACGAAGAGGAAGAGTCTGGAGGAGCTAAAGGAAGCCTGCAGCTGCACAGTCTCAATTTAAACATAACCAAGGTACAAGCAACTATTGGGATTGTGCTTTAAAACAATCCCAATAGTTGGAAATTCATCGTCTCCTGTCAGTGATATAAGCTCAGTATTCAACACCCTAAAATTGTATATGAATATTTAAATTGCAAAAACGCATTGACACCAAAATGTTTTAACAGTAGGTGTTTGGAGCTGACTTAGTACAGACATGACATCTGCTGTCTTCTGTCTGGCTCAGGGCTCTCTGGTTGTCGTGGTTGGGAAGGTCGGCTGTGGAAAGAGCTCCTTATTGGCTGCTCTGACTGGAGAACTTAATAGGTACACAGCTTATGAAACTTTTATTGAAAATATTATCACTTATGACTTAATTTACATATGAAGAATGTTGTCGAGTCATCAATATTCCCTTTCCCAATATGAAAAGGTTTGCTTAGGTGATTAATAGGCAGTCAGGGGCTTTATGCTGCTCTAGATGATATTTTTCATCTTAGTTGGAACCAAAAAAGTCAATAAAATCAATAGTGAATCTGGTTTTAGTGTTTTTAAGTGCACTGACACAACCTGGGATTAATAATGTGTGACTAAGGTCTATCCATCTTCCACTTGTCTCTGCAGGCTGACTGGAGTGCTCTATGTTGCAGACAGGGAGGTTGGCTTTGGTTTGGCCTCACAGGAACCGTGGATCCAGCATGCATCAGTACGAGACAACATCTTGTTTGGCAGAGACTACGATGCTGCCTTCTACCAGGCTGTGATCAAGGCCTGCGCCCTCTCAGATGACCTCAATGTACGATTGTGACAATGTTATTGTTTACGTTTCTTCACACTGATTTCACTGTGCTTTGCATGGAGTTTCTGGGATTGTTTAAAATGTTAAATAAATTGGTTTTCAGGGCTTTGGTTGCTCTGTTTCTGCACCTGCAGGTTTTGCCAAATGGTGACAAGACTGAAGTGGGTGAGAACGGAGTGACTCTGAGTGGAGGACAGAAGGCCCGGCTGGCTCTTGCTAGAGCTGTTTACATGGTGAGTCTTCAGCACAATCCAGCCATCTGCTTCACACTCTAAGAGGCACAGAGGAGGTTTTACAAAATAAATGAGTTAGGCTGCAGTAAACAAGGATAAATGATATTGGAATTATATTTTTCCTTCTGTTGCACAGATTGATAAAAACTGAAAGCTATCAGGTAAACGTTCAGAGCTTTTAATTTTGTTTGAGGGAACTGCATGTTAACAGTTTCTTGTAACAAATAGTTACAAAGCCATAAAAAGCTGTTTATATGTAATATGCTTGTGTAATGTGATGTTGCCTCCCCTTCCTTTTTTCTGCTTCTCCTGCAGGACAAAGATATCTACCTCCTCGATGATCCACTGGCAGCAGTGGATGCAGATGTGGCTGAACACCTTATGAAGAAATGTATCATGGAGCTCCTCAGAGGGAAGACCAGAATCCTTTGCACACACCGCATAGAGTTTGTGGACAAAGCTGATGTGGTTGTCCTCATGGACAATGGAGCAATCGTCAAAACAGGTAGAAACTGAAGTCTGCTTTAAATCTTGGTGACATTTGTATAAATGTAACTTCTAAATGATTTAAAGTCCTTTTAGAAACAAATGTCACAGATCAGCAGCTTAAGTTATTTTGAAGTTTCCATCAAAATGGATGGGGAGAAAGTCATAACTCACAATTGTCATCAGTGGGTCATAGAAACTGCATGCAATAGAAGTGGCAGTCAAATACAAAAAATCCCAACAACTTTTGCATGTTTGCTCCAAAATACAGTTCGGAAAAGCATTTTTCATCCCACAGGTTATGCTTGTGCATGTGCATAGTTTCACCATATTACAGCTTCACCACTAACTGCTCATGCCAAATTAAAATCAATGTTCTATATGCACTTAGGCAAAATATAATTGAAAAAAAGTACACATCTCTACATCTGTAGAACAATAACAAGTAGAAAAAGATGTCTGCCTCCACATAGCTGAAGTGTACATTTATCCACAGAATAATGTGATTGGCTAATATGCTTTATACCTAAACTGTTGATTGGCTTTTGGGTAACGAGGTGGGACAACCGCCATCTTTAGCATCTCAGACTTTGATTTTTATTTGTAATTCTTAGAGTGCCATGTTGTCTTGTATAAGGTGTCCATATGCCAAGTAAAAAAAAAAGAGCGGCTATTGTACAGATACAGGACATTTATTAAAAGGCGTCATGGCTTTTTTGTTTTGTCTAGTTGTTTATATTGAGCTCACTTTATTAGTTTAGCATTACATGCAAGAAGAGCATCAACTTGTAAGTGGCTCAGGGAGTTGGGAAGCGCATCTGTAACCGGAAGGTCGCTGGTTCGATCCCCAGGCTCTCTGTCCTGGTCATTGTGTCCTTGTGCAAGACACTTTACCCTACCACCTACTGGTGTTGGCCAGCTTCTGTTAGTCTGCCCCAGGGCAGCTGTGGCTACAACTGTAGCTGCCTCCACCAGTGTGTGAATGTGAGAGTGAATGAATAGTGGCATAAAGCGCTTTGGGTGCCTTGAAAAGCGCTGTATAAAATCCAATCCATTATTATTATTATAAGGTGGAACATCTGTGGAATAAAAGGCCTTTCTATTCTTCTGTGTTAAACAGGGACACCAGCAGAAGTCCTTCCTTTGGTGGATGCAGTCCAGAAAAAGCAGAAGAACAACCGCAACACAAAAGAGAAAGGTGTGTTCACCTCACATTATGACAAACAAAAACTCAGGTATTAAAACAGTGGCGCATGTATAATCTCTTACAAGTCCAGAGTTCCCATTGTTGTCATCTTCTTCTTCAATAGCAATATCTCAACAAAATCTCAACAAATCCAAAATTCAGCTCTTCTTTCTGGGACTCTTATAATCCTTTTGGTTTGGCCCCTGTTGATTGTGAGCAGATGGCGTGGAGCAGGTTGAAGGGGAAATGAGTTCATTGCCTGAGCTACATGTGGATAATGATCCTGACCTCTCGGGGGCAGAGCAGAAACAGGTGGGCAGGCTGGCATGGAGAGTTTACCAGACCTACTGGGCCGCTGTGGGTGGAGTACTGGCCTCCTGCGTCTTAGTCTCTCTGCTCCTCATGCAAGGTTTGGAATGCTTTTTATGATCTTTGTACACTGGGGACGCTTAGCAATTTTTTCAGAAACATCACCTCCAAGATTGTCTCTCTGTGGTCAACATTTTTTCATCTTTTAAAGATGAGAATTATTTTTTAATTTTACTGCCAAAATTACAAAATAAGTCCAGGCGACCTGTATGATACTTGGGCGATATAGGATTATTGTTTAAAGCAGGCTTCAGGGTATTTTGTCCCCAAAAGAAAAAATAATTACTGTCTTCTGGCTTTAAATTCATTTCTAATTTAATAAGAACTTTGTGTGTGTGTTTGTGTGTAAATCAGCATCTAAAAATGTGTCTGACTGGTGGCTGTCCTACTGGATCTCTGAGCTAAAACACAATGGTTCCACTGGGAATAATGATTCTTCGTTACCTGCCTTCAGCTCACCTCATCTGCTGCTTTTCTCACCTGGAAGGCTCATGTGAGTTGACCAATTGGCAACATTTTGAAAAAGATTCTGTGAATGGTAACACAACCAAGATGTCTTGCTATCATTGTTCCAGAATAAACTTTAAAACACAAAATTTGTAACCAATTTTAAAAGAGCACATGCTATAATAATAACATGCAGTTCAGCCGTGAGATAATGATGATTTCTTTTAAAATTTCATTTATATATTATTTTTAAAAGGTACAGATGTAAAGACTTTGCCATTACATTTTCTATTATTATGTTAAACACAAAGTTTATCTTTTATTTTGAAGAATGAAAATAAAAACTGCTTTTAGTACTGTGATTTAAACTTTGACTTCTTCCTGTCTTACTTCAGTCTTTTGACTAAAATCAGATATTCACCTCTACCCATCCAGATCTTCAGTGCCCTCTGACTACACGTTCCTCTCGAACGACATCGATGCAGATGTTAAGTTTTACCTGACGGTCTACGGCTCCATTGCTGTGGCCAACACCGTGTTCACCGCGCTCCGTGCCTTCCTCTTTGCCTATGGAGTAATGTGTGCTGCTTCTGCCATCCACAACAGACTTCTGAATCAAGTCTTTAAGGTATGTCAGCAGTCAGCATAGCAGATTGAGTGCTTTTCATGTCTGGCAAAAATAGCTGAAGGTTGGAGAAACAGGGTGGTGACTGAAGGGTTAGCAGTGTGAGACATCAGACGTGCTGAGTAGATGTTCATTAACAGGAAGAGGTATGCTCACACTGCCTATGTTATCTACTTAATGCCAATCCTTCTGATGTGCTAGGTAGTTTTAAATACATATATAATAAGGATTTTATTTTATTTATTTTTACTGTCTCCAAACCATACATCATAGCAGGTCTCACTATAATCTTGTAAACCTTCCCTTTCACTTTTCCTGCTATTCTTCTGTCACAAATCACCCTGCGTGCTCGTCTTCACCCACTCCACCCTGCCTACGCTGTCCTCTTCACCTCTCTTGAACACTCTCTGATGCTTGACCTTAGATATTCAAACTCATCTCCCCTCACTGTCTCTTCCTCTTGCATGTTCACGTTTCCACCTGTCTTCCTCTCATTCACACACATACTTCTTTCTTCTACTGACTTTTATTTCTCTTTTCTCCAGTGTGTACCTCCACCTCTCCAGACTGTCTTCTACCTGTTCCCTTCTCTTACTACAGATCACAATTGCATCTGCAATTGTTATAGTTCACAAGATTCTTTAAAGAAAAATGCAAATGCATAATGAGAGAGGAAAACACTTTAAGTGTGAGTGACATGAGTAATTCCCACTTAGCAAAAAATATTAAAAAAATGTCTTGTTTGCGTGTCCATCCAGACCACTATGGCGTTCTTCGATACCACTCCTTTGGGCCGAATTCTCAACCGTTTTTCCTCAGACTTGTACAGCGTGGACGACAGCCTGCCGTTTGTCTTGAACATCTTACTGGCCAACATTTTTGGCTTGCTCGGCATGCTGGTGGTGATAAGTTACGGCCTGCCCTGGGTCCTGGTGGCCCTGCTTCCCCTGGGTCTGCTGTACTACCGCACACAGCACTTCTATAGACACACATCTCGAGAGCTGAAGCGCCTCAGCAGCCTCACTCTGTCACCAATCTACTCGCATTTTTCAGAGACACTGACTGGACTGGGAACGATCCGGGCCAGTGGCAACTCTGCCAGGTGAGTGACACGGAAACAGAGTTTTCAGTGATTAGATAAATGTATGTGAAAATAAGTAATAGTTGTTAACTTTATCTTGCACAGGACATAAAATTAATTTAAATTCTCTTGAACATAGGTGACAGGAAGTGTTAATATTAATAAAATATATTAGGTATAGGGACTAAAGAAACAGCTAAACCGCAGGGACATTTTTCTGCTGTTTCAGGTTTGAGGAGGAGAACGCCAGGCGTTTGGAGCAGAACCAACGCTGTTTGTTTCTTAGCTACGCTGCAGGGCAGTGGCTGGACATCCGTCTGCAGCTGATTGGTATCGCTGTGGTGACAGGCCTTGGGGTGATAGCTGTTGTTCAGCACCAGCTTAATTCTGTTGATCCAGGTAAGACAGCAGAAGAATTTGCAGGCTGTGCGTGTTTAATGACCGTAGGAGCCATTGAGTAAGACTGTGTGTGTGCCGGTTTTCCTATCAGGTCTGGTGGGTCTGTCCCTGTCCTACGCTTTGTCTATCACACAGCTGCTATCTGGCCTCATATTCAGCTTCACGCAGACTGAAATGCAGCTGGTGAGCGTGGAACGAACAGAGGAATATTCCACTGGACTGCCCATTGAACCACAGCATCAGAATACAGAGGTCGGGTGCACTGGATATTGATATTAACATAACAACAGTGGGTTACACTAAAGCTTTATCAGAGCTCCTGGCTTTACCTCACAGCTGTCTTCACAGAATGTATCTTACTTTTTAGTCCAAACCTGAAAGTCAGAGGAAAAGATCACAAGACACAATTTACATATATATTAATATATATATTAATAACATATGTAAACATTTGCACACCTATTTACATATTTAAATAAAGATGGACGTGGCATCTTTTTTTTGTCAATTGAAACAAAAGCCAACACAAAGTACTTTAACATGTATATTTTTCTATTGCCCAGCAGAGGGCAGTCTCTCTGCTTTAAAAAAATATGGGTTGTTGTAAAGAAATCTTTGGAAAACGGCCCTTCTTTTTTATGATACCATAAATCAAGTGTCGTTTCTAACGTGTTTATGGACTCAGTCACACGTTTTAAATTTCTTGGAGTACTATTTACATTTTACCCTCTCTGTTTCTGACCTCAGCTGTCCCCCTCATGGCCTGAGCACGGTTGTTTGGAGTTTCGGAATGTGGCTTTGACCTACAGGGATGGTCTTCCTAATGCCCTGGATGGAGTGAGCCTCATGGTGCGACCTGGAGAGAAAATAGGCATTGTGGGACGTACAGGATCTGGCAAGTCCACGATATTCTTGGCCCTGTTTCGGATGGTGGAGCTCAGCCAGGGTCAGATTCTCCTGGATCAGCTGGATATCACCACTGTGGGCCTAGTTCAACTCAGGTACATTTGAATTGAGTTCTTTATTGGTATTGGATAAGAGTTACATGAAAACTGTGCTCTAACACATTTTAGAAGATAAATTACTAACATAATGTACTTTATAATATAATAAAATCAGTGGGAGACAAGTTGACTTATGTGCTGTTGTTGCCCTCTGCAGGTCCAGGTTGGCCATTATTCCTCAGGACCCCTTCCTTTTCAGTGGCACAGTCAGAGAGAATCTGGACCCCTGTGGGCGACACTTGGAGCTGGAGCTGCTGGACGTCCTGGAGCAGTGCCACCTCAGCACTGTGGTCAGCAGAATGGGTGAGAGTTATTTACAAAAGTGTGTTTGACCCAGTGATTTAACAGAGAGCAGAAGAATTGCAGTGTTTTGTCTTTTTTGTTACAAAGGTGTGTCTGCTTGGCACCTTTGACGCCACCCTTTTCCATTCCTGTCTGCTCACATGACTGTCTGCTTCAGTTACAAAATGGTTCTTACCTACTTGCACTGGGAAAATGGTTCTTGAGTCAACACGCTGGATGATCGAAAGTATTTTTTTGTACCACAGAATAAATCTAAGGATCCACTGACCAACGGCTGGCAAACATACTTTGATAACTGATGACTGTGTTTCAGAACCTAACATTATTATCTTTGAGTTCTCTTTCCTCCTCTGTTATCTTTGTATTAATCCTGTTTACTTTATGGGCCATTTATCATAAAAGCCTAAAATAAAGGTTCAAATTTGCATGAAATGGAGCTGCTACTACATGAAGATCATCAACATGAAGATGTAGATGATGACAGATTCATGCTGCCTCTCATGCCTTTTGTGTGTGTTTTCGTGAATGTCAGGTGGTCTGGATGCTGAGGTGGGAGAAAGAGGAAGATTCTTCTCTGCAGGACAGAAGCAGCTGCTGTGTTTGGCCAGAGCTCTGTTGACGCAAGCCAAGGTGAGTTTTGCAGCTTTACCATTACACTGTACCGACGACACACGTCGTCTCCGACCACTGTCAGAGACGGTAAATTTCCTCTCGAGTGACTGACACTGATGGTGAGAGGGTGCAACAGAATTACAATACAGGGTGAAAAATAGTCTGTGGCTTTCTCTGTGACATCAGTGACAGTATGAGGCTGTAAACAAAGAACAAACTGTACAGGTTTGATTAGCTCTAATTATGTGACACGCCTTCGCCTGTTCACAAGGAAGTAGGTTGTAAGAGACTGCGTACAGGAGAAGGTATTTGCAAAAGCTTTGTGAATGTTATGCTTCTACATTACTGCAAAGAAGACCGACTAACTTTGTATTTCCAGACATTTATTTATTTATATTTACTGAGAACAAAATATTTTAGCGTGATTGCTCAAACAAATAAAGCAAAACATTTTTCCAATAAATGTTTTTGTTGTCATTTAGGTCCTGTGTATTGATGAAGCCACTGCCAGCGTGGATCATAAGACAGACAAACTCCTGCAGCAGACCATTAGAGAGAAGTTTCAGGACAAGACTGTGCTCACTATTGCCCACAGGTGACTGCATGTGTTCATGTCCTGCACTAAAGCACATTTCAGAATGTTATTTTACAACTGTAGTCTAAAACTTCCTGCTTTTTATTTTCTGAATGAAACACCTTTTTGTGTTTTGTGTGCCTGTCTCACATTAGGATCAACACCATCATGGACTGTGACCGTGTGCTAGTGATGCATGCTGGGAAGGTGGTGGAGTTTGACAGTCCCGTGTCTCTCTGCCAAGCTGATAACTCCATCTTTCACAGACTGGCGGGTGATCAGGGACAGTGAGATGATCAGACACATTTACAGACAACTTGCTGCTTTGAGTTGATGCAGAGAAGAGTTGCAGACTTTGAGCAAAAACTCATTAGGAACGGACAGCTTGGACTCAAAAGCGAGGCTGTTTGGAAATGTGATTATTCTAATGCATAAACAGCATTCATTGAATTTATGCCATATTCTTGAATCAAGACAACTACACAGCCCTCCCCCAACTCTTCCAGTGGTCACCAAGGAGTTCACTGGCCACTTGAGAAACATAATGTCTCTAGCATGTTCTGGGTCTGCCCTTAAGTCTCCTCAATCAGGAAGTACCCAAGACCACCTCAACTGGCTCCTTTAGATGTGCTGAAGTAGCAGCTCCACTCCAATCCATCCTCACTTTATCAGCTCAGCTCAGATATCCTTCTGCTGCTTGTATCTGCCATCTTTTTCAGACCACATCACCGGAGACAATTCATTAATCCGTCTGTAAATCTCCCGCTCCTTTGTTCATTCACTTAACATCAAGACTTTGATTCTTTAAACTCTGTACTTGGGGCATCAGCTCATTCAGAACCCAGGGGTGGCACTCCATCATTTTTATAGCTGAGAACCATCGTTTCAAGTCTCGGATGTCCAACTTCGGTTTCAAAGTCAGCAGTCACGAAAATTAAAAAAACAAACAGTAGCTTAAAATAAGGGGAATTAGTCAAATCCATTTGGTATAATAGCTGCTACTTTTTACACTTTGTTATTGTTATATTTGAATCCTAATTTAGACAGACAGCCAGAAATGTTCGTCACCATATGTAAATGACTCGTGTAAACTTGTCAGGAGTAATTTTGTGTTTATTCAGAACAACTGCCTGTGTTTGATGAAATAAGACATCATGTCTGCTTGCACTTATGTGAATTATGAACATAAATACCTGGCCCTAGATCTGGTCTTACCACAAGCCACTAAACATTGATGTGTTATAACAAAACACCACTCTGTAGAACAGCGGTCCCCAACCCCCGGGCCTCGGACCGGTACCGGGCCGTGAGAGTTGAGGCTCAGGTGTGAAATGTATGGTTTTCAGGGTTTTATCGGTTTTCAGCGTTATTTTGTTATCGTTTTTATCGTTAACTCAGTTTTCCTGGGTCTTTTCACGCGTGTTATGAATAAATCTTCTTTTTTTGGTACCTGTACTAGTTTTATTTTGTTGTATTTATCCGCGACACCTTAAAGGCCGGTCCATGAAAATATTGTCGGGCATAAACCGGTCGGTGGCGCAAAAAAGGTTGGGGACCGCTGCTGTAGAAGACATGTTGCAGTGGGATTACAGTAGCAATCTGAGTAGAAAAAAATGTCTAAATATATGAAATTATGACTTTATAATCTTGTTTTGGATTCATTTGAAGCAAATGATATGTGGAGCATTTTATGAATCATCTTTGAATATATAAAGAGAGTTCAGTCAGTCGTTGAGTGCTTTAGATAAAAAGAGAGACCTGAAAATAAGAAACATTCACAGTTCAACAATACAGAAATGTCTTATTTTTAGAATTTTATTTAAAAAAACATTTTATTGAAATTTTTTTTAAAATGCTGCAAGACCTGTAAGGGCTATGAGGAATTTTATTTGAATGGTAAATGGTAAATGGCCTGTATTTATATAGCGCTTTACTAGTCCCTAAGGACCCCAAAGCGCTTTACATGTCCAGTCATCCACCCATTCACACACACATTCACACACTGAATAGTACCTGATTCTGTATCTGCCAAGTTCAACATGAATATGGAAGGTAAAGTGCTTCATATTTTGTAGATTTAAATGAGAGTAGATGTATCAAAGTATTGTGAATCCTCATCTGTGGAACTAACATGAAGTTGCTGTTTCTTCCTCTTGTCTGCAAGGAAACACATCCAAACTTTTTACTTTCTTTCAAAGATGATGATTATAAATGGATGTGACTGTGTTCTTATGGAAGTACTATTTCATAGAATTACACATTTTCTAGTACCATTTACAATAATAGCAGGAACAGTAATCATAGCAGTCGTCATAATTTGTGTTTTCTTAATTCTTATAGTGTAGAAAATACAGGGTCACTTGAATGAGGTCAACATTGTATGAGACTTAATATAAAGTATATAAGTCTCATGAGATATATATAAAACATTTATTGTAAGTTTTCTTCTGCACAGGGCTGTTGGTGGTTTATTAGATCTTAGAACTACACTGAAGAGAAAAGCTCTGCCACAAAACAGTTGGTTTTAATTTATCCAACTCCTGTTTGTTCTGTTTTATCATTATATCCTGTTTTCTTTTTTTTACTCTTTTAATGTTAACCATCTGTGCAAAGAAAACACAAAATCCAGTTTCTCAGTGTTTTGTTTTTTTTTATTATGAAGAAGCATGCAGGCTTTTTATGACCAGACAGAGTCTTTTACTTTACTTCTCTGTCAATGATTTACTGTCATTCAACAGACTACAAAAACGATTCAGGCTTGCTGCAGGCAAAGAACTCAGCCTGGGGTGTGTTTGCCTCTCTTTATATGTACTGTTTTAAAGCAATCTGACTTTATTTTTTGACACATTTTATTTTTTTGGCATCAACGTCAGACTTTTCAGACATATGACATTGATCAAATAACCACATGCTGATCATCATATTAGTATATCTGTATGTGTCATAAATTGATCCCCTTCATCTCATGAATTGTATTTTCAAGTGCATTTTACTTTAATGTAAGACCAAGACAAAGAGCAACTGACAACCTGAATAATAAAACATTTGTCAGTCAAACAATTAAGGGAGGATAGCATGAATCATTTAAATTGATGAAATTGAGCTTTAATGTGAGCTGTAAATCAAATTTAGATTCAAGTATTAATAAAAAAAAGTTTATCTAAATGTTGTGATTGTGATGTTTGTATGCTTAGTTGCAGGTGAGTATATTTTGACAGGAGTGATTTTTGTTTTTTGTTTTTCTTGGCTTGTCAACAGCTGTAATGTAAAAAATTTGTTGGTAATAAAAATGATATTGATTATTAAACATGTATGTTGAGTTCATTCACCAGATTTGCCTGAGAACAATTAAAAACACTGTACAGTCAGAGCCCATATGGAGCTGCAGCTGTACCCTTTCAGGTAGGATTATATAATTCTGTGAATGCAACTGAGCTCTCTTTTCTTTCAATCCAGATTGAATCAGACAACAGTCTTTGTCCCCAACAAGTGACTAATCAGTGTGACTCACACGGTGAACGCCTGCCGCTCCCTTGGCTCAGGTCAGAATTTTTCTTACCACACTTATCAAGTTGTCAGGGGGAGTGTTTGTTTTTTTATTTTGTATTTTGGTCCCTTAAAATCAGGAATCAACCGTAATGCTAGCTTTAACATGCGTGCATACTCTATCTGTTTGCTTTCTAGGAAGAAATGTGCAGCTGTGTGACAGACACGTGGGTCAGACACTGAAGTTTTACTCTTGTCTGTTGTCGTGTGTATTTGTGTTTATATGCAGCGAGCCAGAGGCATGTGGTAGTCAAGGTGTGTGAAAGTTTCATGAGGGCGTATGATGCAAAAACGCATGTTTGTGTCTGTTGACAGTTAATGGCTCTTTAAAATGGAACCTGTTTGGCTGCTTCAGGTTGAGTATATGTCCACCTGACTGCACTGTATATCCTCATTCTCACCCTTCAGTGGAAATAGCATGGACTGGTGACTCTGTGGGGAAACTTTACGGCACGACTCCAACACCACAGCAGGCATATGCATGCTGAGGTAAGCTCAGTTTCTTAAATTTACTTTTCACTAGCAGGTTTCATGCGTCGTGGTAATGGGTTGCATTTCAGCTTTTCACCTGGCACCATTTCACCATATACCATTCAGTCTGTCTTCAGGTTTATTTTATTTTTGCAGCTAAACAAGCATCTTTTTTTTCTTTTGAAAGGCATTACTTTTCTTTATGACATTAGTAAATCTTTCAATAAACCTCTCAAGAAAAAAAAACACCTCACAAAATGTTTTTTTTTTTTTTTGAAAGAACATGTCTGGTCATCATTGTTCTGTATCTTGATGTTTTCACTTTTTTATAATTAGAAATTATACGTTATCTGAGGATTGTTAAATATTAGCACTGTAGTTCATTCTTCTAATTGGGACTCAACAAAGGCATGTGCACTTTGGCTTACTTGTAAAATGTTTAATATGTAACTGAATAGTATATCAGTGGCGTCCTTTAATCAAATGCCATTTGAAGTTGTGCATGATACCTGCTAAATGCTGAAAGTTTCGTCTTTTCATGCTAGCGAAGGATAAAATCCTCATGAGGAGATGTTTGATTGGAGTTGTTTACATGTCTAATGGTTACATTTTTGCTAATTGTTTTTCAATTTAAACATCATACAAACATAAATTATGTATATTATTGTACCTTAATATGATTTCACTTGAAAAATAAAAAGAGTCTATTGCCAACTATCATGTTGTTTTAACATTTTATGTATTTTAACAGTCCTGAGATAATTATTGACATGTCCATGTAATACCTGTTGCCTGATCACTCTTTATGTTGTTGCTGTTCAGCAATAGTACACTGAGGTTGCGGAGACATTTGCGTGGACATTTATTTCACATTTTCTATTAATGTGTGGAATTATAAAAACCCATAGATCATACTGTGTTGGATTCACAGGAGGCCTTTCTGTGTTCTTGTGTCATTGTGTTAGGAAGCAGTGGGTGTGGCTGCTTGGGCTTTGTGTTCTTGCAAAAAGAAAACAGTCTTGAAAAACCTGTTCTAGTTTTTCCTTAATGATGAGCTAACAGTTTCAAAGCCATAGTTTGAATACCTGAAAGATGCATCTGCTGACTCACCTGGGTGCCACTTCTCTAAGCACATACAGTACAGTACAGTATGTACAAAAATGGATACAGTCTTCCTCAAAGCCTTAAGATTTTTTACATTTAGTATGTATAGTAAAAATCTTTTAGAGGGGCGGAATTCATTCCATTTTAATGTTGTAGCTGACTGGTTTAATGCTCTACTTTAAGGAAAATACATGAACAGTTTGCCATTTGTTTTACTTGCTCCCTTAATCTGTTAATCAAAGTCTGTTAACTGTATATTATTTGTTCTTTTACAGGCTTAGTCAACCTGGATTTCTCAGTGCAATAGTGAGAAAACCACAAGAGTCATGGTATGAAACGTTTACATATTGTTTTAATTCTTCCTAAAATGCTCATATATACAGAATTGAATATTTTGTTTTAAATTGTCTACTTTAGAGGAGTAATTCTTCTGTTCAGTTTACAATAATGTTGCTTTTAGTTGCAGCCTTCACATCGCAGGGGAAGAAGCCTCTCTGAAGCCCTGACCTTGGAGCAGTTAGAGGAGGGAGGGGTGGTCATTTCCAGTATCAACAATGTCTCATCCGGCAAAGGACTAAAGGAAGGTATGAATCTTGACATCCTATTGAAACTTCTCTTCGTATTGTTTTTGACTTTTTGAAAACAAGAAATAAAATAGTTGTTCCTAAAAAGAACACACCTTAAATTCAAGGAAACTATTGTACATTTAAGTGCTGTGTTACCACTATATATTAAATCGTTATAGGAGGCCTGATCTTCCAGGTCAGGGGTCGGCAACATGCAGCTCTTTAGTATTTATACTGCGGCTCCACGTGGTTTGGAAAAAAATTATAAGTATTTAACTGAAATGTATTTTATTTGTGTTCGTTCTTTTTTAACTTGTAGTTCTAAATTAGAAGATTATTGTGATCTTGAAATATAAAAATAAAATGATATGCTGTTATTTTTTTATTGCTCAAAATAAGCGTCACACTCGCGTAAGGCATACCAGCAGCAATACCGTGCGTTTATGGAGACTTTCAACCCCAGGCAGGCCAATTATGGATCTTCGGATCCACATACGTATGTGAGCAGCTATTCTCCACCATGAGCTATGGTAAAAACAAACACCGCTCACGCCTCAAAGAGGACAGCTTACAGTCCTGCGTAAAGATGAAGTGACTTCGTACAGCCCTGATTTGCAGACGCTGTGCGTAGACGGTTTGGACCTGAAGTCCCTGATCCCATCACAGTCCCATTGTAAACATACAACGGCAGACCCGACGATGTTTGCATGTACATGCTTTTTGCTTTATTGACCACTTTTCACACATGGTTGCTGTAGCCAAACAGCCAGCTGTAGCTTTCCAGCTCACAGCCTGACACATACCAACACAACAGCAGAGAGAGCACAGACTTTAAACAGGCGAGGCTTGATTGTGGAAGCCGCTCAGGTCCGTCCACCTCCCCTGCAGTGGCACTGCAGACTACGCCCTGCCACACACATTAACCACGTAAAATAAATATTTATGCAGATATTTTGGAAATATTTATTTTTCATTTTTGAGGCAGTTAAGTGATTTTTTTTTTCCAATTATTTTTAAAATTCAGGTCAAGGCTCCGCTACAGGCTGCGAAATGGCAGCTGTGATATAAAGGTGATATAAGGATGACGGCTCACTACAGTTTTTGTTTAGTATATGAATAATTTAACTTCAGCTTTTTAATTCATTTAAAATAGACCTTCAACTAGGTGCCTTTCCTTTTTGTTATATTTTTTAAAAGGTCAAAATGTGTTCATTACATAAATAAAATGTAATTTTCTCTGTAGCACTTCATGGATTTCATGAGCAACACGCTTTAGGTGTTTATACAAAGCATAAAGGTAAAAAACAATAACAGTGTTATCTTCATTTTAGATGTCAAAAAGTATTTGCGGCTCCCAGTGTTTTCTTTTCTTTGGAAACTGGGTCCAAATGGCTCTTTGGGTGTTAAAGGTTGCTGACCGCTGTTCTAGGTCAAGATCAGGCCAGGTTTAAAGTACTAAAACTGCCCTTGAAGGATATACAGTATTATTTGCTCACAGTCAAGCATGTTCTCGAACAAGATATTTTTTTGTGCAAGAACTTTATTTGTCTTTTTCAGGGGATGAAATTCTGGGGGCAACAATCAATTTTGATCAACTGTCCAAAGAAGAGGTGTCAAAAGTACTGAAGCTGATGGAGCCATTTGATGATAAAGTTCAAGTCCTCACTCGAAGCAACCGGAGCAAGAGCCTTGACAATCTGGACCAGTGTACCAAGGGTCCTGGGGCTGTAGGTTAAATGCAGATAATATCAATTAAAAATAAAGGATTAGTAATTATATTAGTTTCAGTATGTTTATGCAACAGTGGAACACAGTTCACAATTGTTTACATTTTCTGATGCAGATACATTTAATGCTGGATGCAAAAAAACAAAACAAAAGAATTTGGTACTCAAATTAAATAGTGATGATGATGATGATGACAATTGATAATTAATAATTATCTCCCATCTGTTACAACACAAACTCTCATGTTATAGTTGCATTCCAATCACCAACTTCTCACTGTTTCCAGATGCTGACGGATTCCTACAACAAACTGTACAACACCAAAATCAAGAAGTTTTTGATGGATGATGGACCCAGTGTTGAAGGGGGCTACGTGAATGGGGAGTTTACTGCCAAACCACCTGTACAAAGCTCATCCAAGGTCAACCAAAGAAATGACATGGGGCTGCCTCGCCTTGGAGTTGACTTTGGACTTCTGAAATCCAAGACTTTAATCACAGATGCTAATGCTGATTCACACTCTTATGAGGGAAGCTTAACAGATGGCAGCAATCTGAATCTTCCACCGCTAGGTCTTGGCTTGAATGGGACTAATCTAAGTGAAGCTCAGGTTCCAAGATTCAAAATCGGTGCCAGATGTCCAGATCTATACTTACCAGAAGACCCAAATATCAGCACTACATCTTGTATGCAATTGCAAAATACTGACCACCCATCATTTGACAATGCAATGCGAAATCTTGAAAATCCTCAAATTGGACTTGAAGTTCCAGAAGTAGATGTAGGCCTAAAAGGTTCAAACATTTCTACCCCTGAAATGGGGATAGACCTTGATGGCAGAAGTTTCTGTGGTCCATCTGTTAATTCCAGCGTTCCCAAAGTGGCCATTGAAGGAAGAAACCAGGAATTCAAAATGCCTACATTTAAACTGCCAGATCTGGGCCACTCAGGATCTTTTTTTAGTGGTCCAGAATGTGATGTTAAGCATGAAGGCACACCAGGGAAACTCAGTCTAAATTATTCCAAGAGACTGAAAAACCCAGATCTAAATTTGGATGATTCTACCAGTTATGTAAAATCACCCAAGCTTAGGCTGTCTGGGATATCACCTGATTCAGAGCAAGGAATGTTGGGTATTAATGTATCAAAACCAGATATCAGTGGGACAGACTCTGACATGCCTTTAAGTGAAATCAAGATGTCACACAAGAAACCAAGGATTTCTCTTAAATCTCCTGATTTAGATTTGGATGCTCAATCTGGCATGCTCAAAAGTGACGCTGATGTTAAAACACCTGACCTAAGATTGAAAACATCAAAACTAAAAGGTGGCATGTCTGCACCTGATGCAAACATTCCCAAAGCTGACCTTAAGGGTGAAAATTGGGCCACTGATGCTCCATCAGTTAGTATTAAAGGTCCATCTGGAAAATACAAGGCTCCAACGTTTAGAATGCCCAAATTTGACTTACCAGTCATTCAGGTTCCTGGTTTGAATGGAGACTTGGATGGACCCAATGGACAGCTTTCAGGTACACTGCCTAGAGGGTCAAATTTAAAACTAAATGCACCTGACATAAACATGCCAAACATTGACCTCAAAGCCCCAAAGCTGAAAATGGATAAACCAAATGCCAACTTGGACTTGCCATCAGGCAAAGTTAAAATGCCAGAGCTTCATGGTCCAGATTGGGGTGTTAATGCTCCTTCTGGGAAATTAAAAATGCCTAAATTTAATCTGTCAGGGACACTGCCTAAAGGA